AGTGTCGTACAGACTCGCCTATGCCCTACTGGCATGGAGCGGGCCCCCATGCCTGTAAGCCTTTATCTTGTTTAGCCACAAGAAGAGAACCTCCAAGGGGGGAGAGGAGAGAAGGAGGAGCCACACATTTAATCCTGGAGGGCCATTAGGGACGAAGGCGTTTACAGTGAGTACAGTCGGCAGATACCTGGCTTTTTGTTCTTTTATTTAAGAGAGAAAATTACAGGAGAAGGGAGAAAGAAGGGAGCAGCTTGGATGTCTGCATAGCTGAATAACTTGCTTTCTAGTTTGGCCAAAACACACTCTCCTGATTTAAATGTGGCTATTTATTCAAGTTGAATACATTCTGCTAACATCCGGTTTTGACTCAAAACTGTGGACTGTCAGGGAGCTAGCAGAACCTGTCTTTGTTAGTAAACAACCCATGGTATGTTTTCTTCCGTGTCTGTCAGATGGTAAATAGAGTGTGGTGGGAAAAGCCCTGCTACAAATTAAAAATAGTCCTTTAAAATCTTTACTGCTTTCAGCTTTTGTACGTTAAATGTTGCATTTTCTTTGGATTTGTGGAAAGGAAAGGATTTGGTGGCTGTTATTTTTAACAGCAGCTGGGATAAAGGTGGTATTATCTTTAATGCTGGAAAGGCAGCCACAGACTCAAGCAGTTGATTATGTGTGGGGAGGAGGTCACTGGGTTCCAAAAAGCTGGTTGATCGCTTCTCTCAAGCTGCCTTGGAACCAGAATTGTAACTTGGTGGGTACCTGTGTGCACATGGGCTAATGCTTTTGCTTGCAAGGCCACAAGTTGTTGTCTAGTGGCTTCTTTTTAAAAAATTTCTCTGTGACTGGAAAGGAAGCTCATTGTAAGATGCCTTGCACAGGAGGAACAGAAAACTTCTATAATATTTGGTAGAACGAATAGACTTGTGTTGAATTCCTACTATTTGTTTGCATTCAAATGGAGTAATTGATTTGATGGAAAGCGAACTTAAATAGTCATGATAAGGCAGGAAGAATATACGCAAAGATTATTATCATAGGTCTTCATAATTTGAAGCATTTTTCCTTTAAATTATAAATTTATTTTTGAAATCAGATGTGATTTTGTGAAAATCAGAAATAGAGTTTGGTCAGCCATGGGTGCTACATTGGAGCCCTGGTGTCGCAGTGGTTAAGAGCTTGGCTGCTTAACCTAAAGGCTGACGTTTCAAATCTACCAGCCACTCCTCAGAAGCCCTATGGGGCAGTTCTACTCTGTCCTGTAGGGTGGCTATGTGACTATGAGTCGGAATCCACTTGACGGCAATGGGTTTTTGGTATTTTTGGGTACTACATTTAAATGTGAACTGCTAGAATTGAAAATTCAACATTTATAGTAAGTACTATCTGTGAAAAGTGTAATCAATCAATTTAATGTTATTTCCCAGGCTCGTTATTCTATTAGGACACATATGGCATTCCTGTCCCAGTGGCAAAGATGTATGTGAAGGAAAGTAAATAGAATTTAAAGTGGAACTTGAGTAAAAGCACTGCTTTGCTTTACGTCTCTGGGTTGTGGAAATTCTCTTGATCAGTTAAATATGGAAACATCACATCTAGGTTGAAATTGTGTAGATGCAGGAAAACTATGATTTGGCAGATTGAACTTGAGCTTCCCTTGTGTGATGCACATCCATTCTTCTCCAGCTACGTTTTTGTTGAATATTTTTATTTTATTCTGTTTGTCCTTTACTTATATAACCACATCTCTGTTGTCAGTCTTAAATTATAAACTCCCAGAGGAGAGAATCTCCCATATTAATTCCTTTGGGAAGAATTAGCACCATATAATATGTAAATAATGATTTACAGAATGCTTTTTCATAGTAATGGTCTATTTCCATTAAGTAGGACAAATCTATTGATGGTGTTTGTGTGCTGTAGTAAAACAGAAGGCCATTGGTCAGTACCAAGAATGTCTCAGAGGCAGGATGCTTCCAATCGCTTTGACATCTCTGGATAAATAATGTTGGGTAATCACAGATTCTTAGAGGATTCTACTATCATCCAGTTCAGGTTTGTCATTTTACAGGTGAGGAAATTGAGGGCTAGAATTGTAAAGTGTCTTGCCCCAAATCACACAAAACTGCAGTGTGCCTACTAGGTGCACAGCCTGATGGGATATATGGAAGCATTGTAGATTGGGACATAAACTGTATCAGGCTAATTCTTTCATATGTTTTTTAGTTTACTGTAGGATGTATGTTCCAGAGGAGGCTTGTCTTGATTTAGGAATTTCAGGTAGAACACATTGATGCAACATTGTTTTTAAGTCAGGCAGGGCTCTAGGGCAGGGTCTAGGGGTGAGTGGGTGTGTGTAGGTGTATCTGAGACAGTTCATTGTACATTGCCATAGCATTTTGTTTTCTGGTTTACACTGAGTCTTGTTTCTCAGAAGAGGGAACCACTGTGACACGAGGGTCTTCTTCATTTATCGCCCATTCTACAGCCTTGAGCTAGAAACCTTTATTAACCTTTGTGTTATATTAGATTCCTTCTCTGGAGGGCAGTGAATTAATTAATAATTTAAAAGTGATTTGGGAAGTCAGACTTGGAGCCTGTCTAATGCTGGCATATAGTTTATTAAGAAATGGTATGGTAGCACACTCTTACTGGAATTTTATCCCTCCCAGTGAAATTTTGATATCTTCTAATTTGTTTTGTAAAATAGCCAGGTCTAGTACTATTGCTGTCTTAAAAACTGTATACAAAGATGGTTAAAAATGTGAGGCATGGATTTCTCCCTCTTTCAATTAGGTGGAAGAAACTGTTGAATTCAAGCCTAAAGACATTGTATAAGGCAGGCACCAAAATGATAAGCCTACTTTATAATATAATCTTTTGCTTTTTGCAAATAACTTTTCTTTCAGAAATTTAATTCAAAAGTTAGATGCCCAAGAAATTGAGGAGGGGAAACAAGTCACAGCATTGTAAGGCCTCTTAAATAATATGTCATGAAAGTAACTTATTCTTGACTGCTCTGATCAGGATCACAACAGAGAGTTCTGGACAGAGCTGGAGAAGGATGTAGAGCATAATTCTAACTCACACAAAAAAAAGACCAGATTTACTGGTCTAAAGGAGACTGGAGAA